AACGCGTCGTCTCATTTTTATAATTTTAAATTTTAATTATTTTACACGAAACAGAATAGTACACAACTTGACTCTACGAATACCAGGATGTGAATGAGGATTGTGATTATAAAGTGTAAATGGCGTAATTTGATAATTAACAATTATTTTATTAAATATATCCAAAGTTAACTAAAATTTTATTAAGAAGTGATATTAAGTAAGATATAAAATTTTAATTTTACTGACTGTTTCACGATTAAAAATTGACTCTACAAAGATAAGAAAAAATATATACGAGAAAAGTTTGTTAGTAAATTTCAATTAAGGAACCTTGAAAGATCGACATTCAAATTTACTCAGAAAAGGGATTTGAGTATAGCTGAAATTCTATCTCAGCGTATGGTACGCGATAACTGTGAGCTAAGAATATACTGTATATAAGATCGCCAGTGGAATTGCTGAACTTTGGCAAGACTCGTTACTGAACTAATTTTATGCGACGCAATGATAATATGACATGATCTACTTCTTGGAATAAAATATTACTTTCTTGAATGTACGTGAATCATGTAATCATAACTAATATTCCCTTCTATTCATTCAGACAATTTATTAAAAAAAGTTTTCATTTTTATTTTGTGAAAATTACATTGGGAAAGCAGATGTGTCTGCACTGACGAGACTTTATATCACAAAAATTACAATGCAAATTTAAATCCGGAAATTTGTTTTAAAAATTCATAAAGTGATGTCGAATATTTATAATGAAACTAATTAATAACATCACCCCTATCTCCAGATTTAAAAACTGGTACAGTTATTCCCTTCTTCCATTCTGTTGGAAAAATTCCAGAAAAGACAATGATAAATTACAAATTAAGAACAAAGGATGCAACAAGGATGAGCTACTTTTAAGTATATTTAAAAAAATTTTACACCACATTCATGAAATTAATGACCTCCCTAGCCATCTCTAAAGGGCGCGAATACCTGACGAATGGTACTGACACATACAACTCAGGTGAAAATAGATCTAAACTAGAGATTACATCCCGGAACGCATCTGTCACCTGAGCTAAAACTGTTATAAACAGGGATGAATGTAATAGTTATTTAAATTTAATTAATTTTAATTAAAAATTATTGTTGTTTTAAATTTGGAATTGGGGACTTTTTGAGGGATTTTAATTACTATTGTTATTGCCCTTTACATTCGCCTATGATCGACAAATTTTCGACTCAAATTCCAGCGATCAAGTATAAGGAATTTTGTTTGAAATTAGTTTAATTTAGTAGGTAAAGTTCACTGGCCTTATTGAACGAAAACGACGTCGTTTGATAAGGTAGCTTTTAGTTTAATCTTATGATTGACAGATTTCAGTGGTGGAGTTAGTTGCCCTTTTATTACTATAAGAGTCATCTTAGTTAAGTGTAATTAGTTTTAGTCAGTTGTAGTTTAATTCAGAATTCTGGGAGATGCGACATAGTGGGATATATTCGTCCATAGTTATCATCTTCGAGAATCGAGCATACGCTACAGTTTAATCTAGTCATGTACCCAATTTTCAGATTCTGCTATTACATTTTGTCCTTTCAATATTCAATAACCAATTTCAAAATAAAAACATAATACAAATTAATATGAAATTTGAATCAAATAAAACGTAAATCGTGTAATATTTACAAAGAGTTAATTAGTCAATCAATTGTAATTCATTATTTTATTTATTTGTGATCAGCAATTTATTTAGTTTCTGCTCCATTAAGTTAATTTCAGCTAGAGAATTTATTGACATACAATACTCAACCGATGCAGTTCGCAAACCACTGCTTTATGTCACTTCCCACCTAACGTAATAAAAAGGAATATCTCTGCCTCTGAAATAATAAAAGAAAAAAGAGCATTTTTTGTACAAGTGTAATGAAAAATTTTACAACGGAGCAAGACAAAATAGTGATCGTCAAGTTAGAAAATTAACTGCACAACAAATCATTGTTCCATAGGGAGAAATATAGGTTACGTTTATTTTCAAAAGATTCACGATTTAAATTTATACCCCATGCATCGGTCCGTAATACTCGGGGGAGGTAGTGGATCCCGAAAAGCGAGGCATTAAAAGCTAGAAGCTCTTAAAATGTCCGTTGAACATTATAGGCATACGCTAGAACGATGGGCGAGCCTACCGCAGGATAATATAAGAATATCCCACAAAGCCATGAGATGAAAATGCGATTTACGCCAGTATATAGTCAAATCTTGAAGTCTTTAACATTAGTATTACACTATAATTCACTTCTATCTGAATATATACATTTTTTATGATATTTAAAAAACTAAAGATTTAAACAATTGCTCCTCATGTTAAAATATATGCATCCCAGTTAAAAATGTTTGTTGAATTAATTATAGTTTCTTAGAATTTAATTTTATGCATATAAGAAATTATAAAATGGAAGATTTCAATCATAGATACTTTCAGTAATGTATTTATTTTGTTAAAGTAATACAAACGATATTTTCAATGCAAAAAGGGCATTGTTCATTGTAATTTAATTTCTTTTAATTAAATTAATATTAATTAAAACGTATACCTATATTGACTATTAAACCTCCAGGCAATAATTAGTTAACATTATTATTTTATTGAATTGAAATACCTTCGTAACGTTTCAAAACCTAAAATATCCTATTGAAATTTGTAAAGTTATATATATACGACATTAAATACATATGTAAGCGTAGTGAATAAAGCCCAAGGACCTCTATAAATTATTATATCGAACATCAGTCTACTTTCAAATGAACAACTAATTGATTTGACTTTCCATATTTCATTAATATATTGGAAACTGTTAATTTAGATATTTCTACAGGTGATTCATGATATAATAGATATTCAAATTGATTGAGAAATATTAAATGAATTTTAACAAATTACATTTACCGAAACGTGACATTACACTAATTTAGGCCAGCCTCATATCATAGGAAACAATTTATATACAGACAGTCAAAAATGATCATATAACTCTAGAATATAGATATATAGATTCAATTTGATTTTAATAATTATTATTATTTTTAAATAATAATGAGATCGATTCAGAAGGAAAACGACTCATAATATATAACTGGGGACTCACCGCCCATTTGACGACGACGCCTCGTTCCAAAAATTATAAATTTATCACATTTTCATCATGTCACAAAACAAAAAGAGAACTATTTGCACTCTACGAACACCAGGATGAGAATGAGAGTAAAATGGCTGACGAGTCAAACTCGAAAGCGTGGTGTTCTTGAATATTCGTGATTCTTATATATACACCAGGAAGCTCTTCCCTTGATGACTTCTAATTTCAATGATAGATAGCGATGTCCTCAACGCCTTTGTGACCCAGCGAGAATCCTCAATGTCTCGCGAGAGTTTACATAACAGAACGAAAGGACAAATCAGAATTGAATTTATTTATTACAGGTCGACTATTAATTTGACGACTTTGGCAAGTTGGTTTGTTAATTCGTGAATTTGATTATTTAAAGAAAATGAAGTGAGTATTATAAGAAAACAATTTTTATAATTTAAAACATTTTACAGCCATTATGGCTGGATTCCCACCATTCCCACAGGTGGACCCTCTTTGTATATTAAGATGTCAATAGTAAACTGATCAATAAAATATTGACACAATCGTTAAATGTAGATATAGCATGTATTACATGTATGTCTCATATCGCTTTGCAAGGAAGACATAAACAAGATGAATATCGAATGTAGCGGTAACGAACTTTAAACCTAATGACGCTCTCAATAACTTTATCGACACAAGTTAGAAGATATTTATGGTTTATGTACATAGCAATGTTTGAGACTATCGAGTTAAAATCTGTGATTAAATCTACTAGTTTCAAATATACTGGTGAAATTTCCCTGTTCGACAAAGTTTTCTTATATATCAAGAAACTCTCGCGGGAATATTCGAATGCTATCTATTGTGAATTTCAATTTTATAATTATATCTCCCGTGAAAATAAATATTTACCTATGTAAATAGTTTTAAATATAGTTTTTTTCAATCCATTTCATTTTTATTAGAATCCTTTTGACAAAAAAGACTAAAAAAATTAATATAGATTTTTAATACAAAAAGCAAGTGCATTTTATACTCACATATATATGTATATGTATGCATCGACAATCTCTTTGATTAAGAGGGTAGGTACTACTTAGACTATCATCAAGGTTCGCGTTAATTGCTTTCAATTAAACCTTCGTTTCAAACGGGAAAGTGCCACGGTTACTAACGTAATATTAAATGTGGGTATATAGTATGTTCACTTAATTGAGCCTTAATTTACTAAATTTGATTCCATTATTCATGCATGTGGCCGCAGGTCAATTTTAGTTTATAGAGAAGTGAACGCTGGTCAGAATACTCAGTAAGAAACATTCGTCCACTACAACTTAATAAGATTTGTTCTACATATGCGGAGATTTCATTTAAAATTAAAAAATTTACTTTTAAAAAATTAATAAATTCATTTATCTAATTTAGCATATTTATTTTCAGTTTACATCATTGCAATAATTAATCACTCTATTTTCCTGAATCGATATTTTTATATATCTCATTCAAATCTCATTCAAATTCTACACAGAACTGAAGCATAACATAAATTCTAAAATATCTTTACAATGATCATATACGTGGAATTCATTCAAAATTCAGTCGTCAAAATGCATTTATAAATTAAAAATTTGTGTTTAATGTAATGCGGCAGAAAAAAAAATAAACGACATTACAGAAGTCATGAAAAAGTGTAAATAATGAACAATTCGAGCCAAAATAACAAAGCCATTCTTTGACTTGAATCTGCTTTTGCAGAACACAACAGAGAAATTTTTCGTTCATGGTTTTAAAAATAATTTTATTTCAGTAGAAATCTTTAATGTAAATTAGCTTAAAACGTTTTAAAAAAATAGTATTAAAAGCACTGATTACAATTTATGTTTCAGATTCCAACGGTAGCGGAAGGGGTGGAATTCGTGGAAGTGGAGGCGGTGGTGGTAACGATGGAAGCGAAAGAAGAATGGTAGACATTACAAGGGATAAACCGATTAAAGTTGCCGTTAGAGTACAAGTTCCCGTTCGCGATCACCCGAAGGTGAGAAATATGAATTAAAAAATCAATATGTTCTTTTAAATAAAAAAGTTTCGACACATCAATATACGCTTTACATTGAGGTAAACTCCATGAATAAATAACAATAAATTAATCTACGATGTACGATGAAAGAATTTAAATTAATTAATATATTTCTAATTTTTACGTTAAAACTACTCTTAATTTATAAAACATTCTTCAATAAGACAATTTAATTTTGAATAGCAGTTTTCTTTTATAAGTAATTGCTCTTTTTAAAGTGTCGTAAAATTATTTTATTTTTCTGCTTGCTTAAAACCACCTGATGTCTTATTTACATAGCTTTATTATGCTTCCAGATAGAAGATTATTTTTTAGAAAGTTTGTAATGAAAAGTTCTGAAAGTTTCTAGATAATTTTGCAGCTAACTTATGGCAAATTGCAAAATATCCCCCATGTGTCAAATTTGTAAACGATGGGCAAAATTGATGAGAGCTTTTAAAATTGTAATATCTATAAAAGCCAATTGTCAGGATCTTTCTGACGATTTCTACAAAAACACGATTGGTTTTTCAAAATTAACAATAAAAATTACTTGCTGAGTAAAGTCGGTTGTCAGGAGCCTTCTAACGATTTCTAGTAACACGGATGATTTTAGTCAGGAGCTTTCGAAAGATTTCTACCAATACTATTGATTTTTCAAGAGTGGTAATAAAGATTAAATCGTAATTCTTGTTTAATATGCTTATATGCCATGTACATTGCAATAGATGATCCACATAATAGATTGAAAGATTAAACTAAAGAGATGACCCCAACAAACCCTAATATTAATTAAATTAGGATATAATTAATTCATCATTAATTATCTAGTAGGGTTTTTCAGAAGTAAATTCATTGAAGTTTAATGAAAATCATTAAGGTTTAATTTTTTTATACAAGAATAGAAAAGGTAGATTAAAATCAGGTGAATCTAACCCTTAAATTTTGGTTAGGTAAAATTTATTAAATTTAATTAAATTTTTGACTTTTGAAATACCATTTTAATATCCATTATATTTAACTTGAAGATGATGACGAACGAAGTCATCGAAACGTCGTTTTTTGTTTTGTGACAATAAACAACAATTTAATAACATAAATCTCTATTAATTTATAATCGTTTATAATCTATAAATGAATAACCTAGCATAGAATATTAATTATTAATTCGCATCAACGAAGGTACTTGAAAATTCAGTGTAAATATTTGTGATGCGATATGAAGAAAGGGACCTAAGAAGCAAAGGAATTATATATTATGTTTACGACAATATTACACTCAATTTTTTTACTATCTGAATATTAAGTATATTTTACGTCTTTTTTACTTAACATTCACGACTTGCAAATTTTAAGGAAGAACCTCTATATAAATTATTCATATTTTATTAACAGTAAGTTTGTTTCAAGAAAATATCATACCCTCTTGTTTTCATTGCAATAAGGATTGCAGGAGTGATAGTGTTTCTACGTGACAGGATTAGTCAGCTTTATTTTTGTTTCTGTTAGTATTACTTGTAAGAATACATCATATGGTTTAATTTATGTAAGACTTAGAGTTATTTCTCAATATGAAATTTGAATTATCTAGTCTACAGTTTATTATTTTTTGTATTTTGATCCGATACCTTAAATTTCTGTAAACATATTGAATGATATAAATATAAGGAAGAAAAAAACTGACAGTATTTTTTTTAACTTTAAGTATTATTAAATCTATTTTTTAAAAAAAACTTTGCTAATGAAAGTCAAGGAGATTATTTCTCTAATTGTATTAAAGTATGCTCGACGTTGTCTTGTAAATGATTTGATTTCGTTCTAAAAGTTTGATTCGAATTGCTTGTAGTTTAACTTCGTGGGAAAACTATTGGGACCAAAGGGAAATTCCCTAAAGCGATTGCAGGAAGATACGATGTGCAAAATGGCAGTACTTGGACGTGGATCCATGAAAGATCGACAAAAGGTAAGAAATACAAAGAATTCTACTTTATACACACTTGAATTCTTGAAAGTACAAAACCTATTACAATTATTCATGAATTTAACACGTGCATGTTAAATTCTACAGACGTAGCAATAAAGTAAGTTTCTATGTCAATATTTCCTCTTATGATATATAAATAATGACTATACATATTAAATTCTTGTTTTAATTAATTTTTTTTATAAAACAAGATGAAATTAAAGTTTATACAAAAAAAGGATAATATTTATAAATTCAAGTGTTAAGAACAATTATGTGATATTATAGGAAGAGGAACTTCGAGTAAGCGGAGACCCAAAATTTTCTCATTTAATGGAAGACCTACATGTTGAGATTTCAGCGTATGCTACACCTGCAGAAGCTCATGCAAGAATTGCATATGCATTAGCAGAAGTGCGCCGATTTTTAGTTCCGGTAAAAGCAATAAATTATAATACATAATAATAATTTATAAATTTTTTAAATTCAAATACTATTATTTCTCTCTCCTCTTTATCTTGGATTAATGTAATCGACGTCATAGTAACTTAAATAATCAAATTAAGAGCCAGAAACAACGTCAAAGGTAATCCCGCCACGTTGATTTTCAATATAAGTGAATTCGAATAGCTAAATCTGTCTTCATATTGTCACGAGAGTAATCCTTTGAAAATAATTTCAAATTATACTGTGCGTCACACTAAATTAATTCACCACAAATTTTTGGATTATTTCTTCATTATAAAAAATTTGTAAATTGGCGATATAAGAACATTAGTGCTAATTACTTGGTATATCATAATTATATATTATGTTACAACTGGAACAAATCCAAATTGAATTACTGTCATTAATTGTCAATTTCAACGTCTTTTAGGATAATTTAACGCCAATAACGTTGTTTAGGTTCTCCATAAATCTTGAAGAAACCCAATCTCAATATTGAGATAGTATCCCAACGTTGAATCACTTTAGTAAATTTAGCTGATTTTCATCCCTTCAAATTGGTAGTTCTCCTTTCATGTTATCCATCAAACAATCGCTTTTGATAGCCAAGACTTTATCATCCATGATAAGTACTTAAATGTATTATGTTTTCCAGTTTTTATATCAAGATTCACAGCAAGTATTTTTTTAAATGTTTTTAAATTGTTTACGATTACAAGTTGAATTTTTAATTAGTTTCGGATTTCAATCTTTATTGACTGTTTTGAAATCAGTGGCCTAATATTTTAGTATATACGAGAATATATTATAACGTAGATTTGGGGGTGATTATTGATTTTATTTTAATTTTAATTAATTTATTAATATATTTCCCATTGAAACTACGTTATATACACTTTTTAATTATTAATTTTGCCATAACTAAACCAATAATAATAGTTAAATAACCCTACAAATAAAGTTTATAATTCTACTTAGGAGAAACCAAAACTAGCATAAACACAATTAATTAGACAAAATTTATATCAATTATACTATTTATTAATAATCCCTTTAAATTTGATATTTTAGAAAGGGGCAGAAGGCCGACTAACAAGATTCAATTTGATTTTAATAATAATTATTATTTTTAAATAATAATGAGATCGATTCAGAAGGAAAACGACTCATAATATATAACTGGGGACTCACCGCCTATTTGACTATGACGCCTCGTTTCACAATTAGACCTTCGTTACATTTTAATTTTGTTTCACAACACAACAGAACCAAATCGAATTTGTTCTTTATTGTACTGTTTAGATTCAGTAATTAAATTACACATTTATACATACAAACATTCACGTTGTAATCAATTCAGATTCACCGATATTCTCGGAAGCCCCATTTTTCCATTTTATATAAAAGTACCTATTTCAGTAAAAGTTTAAACACTCAGTTAGAGTTAAGCCCACACTCAATGCTTCCATCAAGCTTTTTTCATTTACAGCTATTCGTAAAAGGAAATTTCTCTTTAAGGATTCTGAAACCTCTCGCACACGATAGAACCTGTGGGAAAACGTGTCTACTCTAGAACATGCTTCATATATACGATTTTTTTCTTTTTAAAACATACCATTGGAAAAAGTATATGGGTAGTTCTACAAATGAAGAAAGAAACTGATGCTCGTTTCCTCTATTAATTAATATATTCTCCGTTAATACCTATATATTTATAATTTATAGAATTTGGCATCTTCATATATTAATTATCAATTAAATTAAACTAGATTGAACATAGTGTAAAATAATAAAAATCTAATCGTTAATTTATTTATGTAAGATATAAGTTTAATTAGAATATAATCTAAAATTTTCCTTCTAGGATTACAACGATGATATTAGACAGGAGCAAATGTGGGAGATGCAAATCTTGAATACCCAAAATCGTGAGGGGTCTCAAGCAGTAGAAGCTCCATTAAGTCCCGCATCAAGTTTAGATGCTGCAGGTTCACCAACTGCAGCCACTACAGCAAACTCAATTGATGGACAAGACGACACTCCTAGCAGGCCAACACCTTCACCACCACATCCAGCAGCACTTAAAACCCAAGGAACGGTGTTGCCGGCTGCAACTTCCACTCTAGGTGAGTATTATGATCAAGTAACAATGTAAATCCACAATGATAGGGTTAATCCCTTCTAATAAACTCAAACACATTTAGCAGTTTCATTATAGTACAAGAACCTCTATGAACCCTGAAATACCCTAAGCTTTCTACACTTACTTATCGCAAAGAAAAATTATTTCCTTAAAGATAAAAATTAAAATATTTAAAAAATTTGTAGAGTACTTGATTTGAAACTTAAACCGAACGAAGAAGACACAACAGACCTGTTGTGGCTTTAAAATTCTATAATGAAATAATCTATAAGAGAGAAACAGCTAAAACAAATGCGACGCCTTTTTACAAATGGCAAGGGTTCAGATGACAGATGGTACACTTGAAACACTAGAACAGTCGCGCGTACTTTCAACAACTACAAGTGAGAGAAATGAGAATACGAACACAAAAACGCGAGCTGAAGAAAGTGAGCAATTAGAATTTGATGATGAATTTAAAGGAATAAAACAATAAAATTAATTACAGGAACTAAGGAAAAAACTACTGCTAAGTTAAAATATGAAGTTTTGTTTTGCTTCCTTATGGAGTTTTTTTATATATATATATAGAATAAGTTTCATAATGATATCCTATGACAAGGGTAAATCTAATTTTAAAAATTATGTTCGAATTATAAAATGTTAGCAATTTGAAATATCAAATAAAATAATTGATCTTGTAAAATGAAAAAAAAAAACTAATGAAAAATCAATTCTTAGTTTATATAAAGATGTTATTTCTTTTGGTAATAAGTTTTCGGATTTTTACCTAAGAGATATAGGCGAAGAATTCTATGAATGATCTCTTTCTGATTTACGACCGTAGATCAGATTGCAACAACACAAAAATGTGACAACCCGTCATGAGATTTGACTTTTATTTGATTTATAGAATTGAAATCAATAATTGGTGAATTCGACTCACGAACGGTTAGCACAAAAAGAGCGAAATGAATTCCATTATTTAATAAAATAATAAAGCATTATTGTGGTCAGCCCCAAGATATCCCTGTGGGCAAAAAACCATGTTCACCATGTTTCATGTCCACCAAATAATGTTCTGGAACATTATTTGAACATCCATGTTCTTAAAATGTTCCAGAACATTATTTGGTGGACATGAAACGTTCTAAGAACGTCCTTAAAACGTTTTTAGAACGAACATGGTTTTTTGCCCACAGGGATACGAGAATAGTGAAACATCTTTGATTAACTCCTTGATTATTCGTTACAGTATGAGTTTAAATTAATGAAAAATACTTTTGATATGTGTTACCAGGTGGACGAAAGCGACCTTTACTTCCAGGTGGGAGACCCGCGATGTCGCCTACAAAAAGAACTGTAATGTCTCTTCTAGCTAGAGCTCGTGCAGCGCAAAACAAAGAACCACTTCAGACAACAGCTTCCATCATCGCCGCGACTCATCCGCAGCCAACTGCACCTTTAATACAAGCTACCCTTCAACTTCCAACAGGAGGCCTACAACCTACAAACCCAACTTCCCAAATAAGTAATGTTGGTAATCCTCAGGTTTCTCAATTGCAACTTGCACCTCAATCAATTCCTCCACACACTGCTGTTACACAACGACAACCTATTCTACAATCTCATACACAACATCAGGTTTTGTCACCAGCTATTCACGGATTATTACATACACAGTGAGTATTTAAGTAATGCTACTTTGTTACTTATTTGCAACTGTGCAGAACAAAATGAACGCCACTTTAGATTGCCCAGCTACTGCCAGGCAAATACTGCTTGGGACCCAAGTTGTGTTAGCTTTAATGCTACTACTTTGTCTACTCAGGCAGTTACTGATTGGGTCTGAGTTATCATAGCCTTTTTTTCTCTTCGTATATAATCAATTGTAATTAATAATTTGTATTTCTTCGAAAGAAAAAAAATTAAAATTAAATTCCAAGTCGTTTGTTAATATACAAATTCATTAGAAAATATTTCTAAAATTACTGTTTTAGGAGAGCAGCTGCAGGGGCGACAGTGGTTCCAATTCTTCGTGAGGACTTTATGGCTGGAATAAATCAACACCAGGTTCAGAATGTTCATATAGCGTGAAGAAATGGTTATATCTACAAAACGAAAAATGAAGAAAATAGCTAATTGTTTATGAATATGTTTATATAAAGAAACTTACGTATTAAGTTTAACAGTTCTATCAACGTTAAAATTTTTTAATTTAATCATTAGATATAAAATAGCGAATAAATTGAAGTGAGGGAAAATTTATTTCTATTAAGAATCAACATTCGCTATAGTATTTATTAACTTTGTTATTTATTTATTGTTTTTTAGTTCTAATTTATTTTTGTAAAAACAAGAAATTTTTATGTAGTTTCATAGAAGAATAATTACGGACTTTTTTAAAGGGTAAAATTATTTAATTTAAGTTATTTAATAATTTATTACAATATAATTAATTAATTGAATAACAATCATAATAATAAACTTAACAATTTTACCTTTAACAAGAAATTGCACGATATTATAATGAATCTTTGAAGCATTGACACTAATTTCTTTCGATCTATAACGATTGTCGAATCTTTCTATAAGTTTAATCCTATTTTCCAAAAAATTTCGCAATTAAAACAACTTACATATATGATCATAAAAAAATATGTATAAAATTTAAATACGAATTCCGTCATTGTTTTGAATCAATTCAACATACAAGGAGAATTTTATTCTTGAGATACACTAATGTAAAAACATTAATTTTACTAACTAACAATCTTTTTAATATGTACAACGAAATTATAACAAGAGTAATATACTTATATAAAAAACAAAAACTCTAGGCAACAAGAAATATAACAGCTTATATGTATATAATTAATATATAAGCTTATATGTCTAAATACATTTAAAAGTTTGTTTATCTACACGACTATACGACCATTGACTGACTTTTAAACTAAATTCTTAGTTATTAACCAAAACAATTATTGTTAAATAGTAAATTTATTATTAGGTATGTAATACCTAATGCTTTATTTTTTATAGTTGAGTTATTCAATAATTTTTATAGAAAAAGAAATATGGAGAAGTTAGAAAAAATTAAATACTATTTCTTTGTTTCATAAAATAAAATACTATAAATACTGCGAGAAATAAATATTGTAAATTTATGCATTTTATTGCTTCATTTTCAGTGCGCGGCTATCACGAATTCAAGAAAAAACTATAGCACCCTTTTTTATTTCTGGTTGTTTGATGTATTAGAGACACTGCACTTATATAAAAAATTACCTGTGAAAAAGAAGGGTTGGGTAAAATATCTTACATTCAAATTAAAGCGCCGCCACTATAATCCTAAAAACTGATGTTGAAGAAATTAATCTGCTTTTCTCATTTTGTAAACTGGACTAACTTCTGAGATTTTTTACATGTTGAATTAAAAGAAACTAGATTAAAAAAATACTATAAAATATATTGTAACAAAAATTCTAAATATAATAACATACAATTTAAAGGTAGATACAAAAAATATTGTTGATAAGAGATTTATTTATTTTAGATATTTAACGGTTCAATAATTTATTAGACCATTAAAGGCCTAAAATAAATAAACCTCTTATCAACAATATTCGTCGGTACGCAATGTAACCTAATATCAAAAAACTATTTCGTTTTAAATAAAATAATAACTAAATAATAATATCTAAATGAAACCGATCGATTTATTATCAGATGTTCAAACATTTAGTATATTATAATAGATTAAGTAAATAAAACCAACATTAGTTAAAGGAAAGTAATAAAAAAAATTGTCATTATAAATTAAGACTCAATAAAGCATACTAGACTGGTATTTTTAAACTCATGATCAATTTGATCTCAGAAACCATTACAATTAATTATAATTTGTGACGTGCTTTGCTCAAATTAAATGAAAATGTGTCCCTTTACAACGAAAACAAAAAATTATCATAAGGAAACATTCAATTTTTTAATAAAAATGTTTCATCTAGGCGACAATTAATTTTATAAATTATGAATTTAATTTTGTTGCAAACACTGACATTTCCAATCACTTGATCCAATCATTTTTTTCACACCATATACAATTCTAAACTTTTCTCTAGCACATATCATCAAGATAAAACAACATAATTAATTCCTTATACTTTACACCATCCAGTACCATCCCGTTTCTTATCTTTTATCCATTACTTTTTATGGGATGTCGTACAAAATCCCACTGGGACAATTATTTCTTTACGAAGAACCAAAAACAAAGTGAAACGAAAGGGTAACCTACATTATAGCATTTGTCAGATCACTGGATCAAATGAAATCACTATTCTAATATTTTTTACTAGTAATAATATTTTGTAAAGATTTCAATCATTAAAATATATTAATTTAAAGACGAATTTCTATTTGAATTATACTATAACTAGCTAAAAGAAACGCGCGTAAACGCGCGAGATATCTGCAATTTTTTATGAAAAATTTATTTTTATTTGACGGACACTTTTTGGAATTTTGATCTCACAAAAATAATAATATTATTTTTGTAATCGTTACTGTATTACTATTTCAACATTATGGTGTTATAATAATATAATACCTATTATTGCCCAGTCAATATGACCTTTAAATTTTGTACTCAAATAAAGATTATACAATGCTACGATCGTCGAATTGTCAGCAATACATTTAAATGACCCATCTCAGGATCCATGCAAGGTGAATTCCTATTTTGTTTACCACAAGGCCCATGAACTTAAAATCGCTTTACAATGTTAAAAAGTTCTGGATTCTTTATTTCGTCTGTGATTTCAGCACATATCATTTTATTTAAAGTTTCTGAATCGCAAATTTGTGTACGTAAACAAATAGTTAAACGCACATGTGTCAATCCACGCTTTTTTCTTCTCTATGAAAGACGATACATATAAAATTGTAAATGAATAAAATTACAAGTACCTTGAGTATGCTTAAGGTTAACAGTCCATCCAGGATCACCATAAGGAAACATTGTAGGATATGTCATAGGATCAAAATTTTCCCTAACAATAAGACTAGAAATTATTTTCTTATTATTTTCTGTTGTGCATACTGAATTTACATCAACATGTAAATCCCTCTTCAATTTCTGTAGATAATTTCTTCATCTTACAGGACAAACTTTTTTCTTTGGGTATTTTCTTTTCATTCTCAGTTTCAGTAGACAGAACTCTGTTGTCATTTTTACTGGGAAAAGTCTTTAAAAAATATGAAAGGTTTAGTTCACCATTTTCAACTTCTTTAGCTCGATTTATGAAAAGACAATTCCAATCATTCTCTACAAATCGAAATCCTAATATTAGACATTCTAACTGCCGGAAAATTATTTAATTAATTGTTTTCAAAAAATGATATCAAATGCTTGCTCATTATATTATTATCAGTTTCATAAATTAATCTTTTAATTTACACTGTTAACCAATACAGATGTTGCAAATGCTATTGCATTATACTTTACACTTAACTGTACCAATCGGTTGTTGATCAACATCTACAAAAAATTCTGTTGGTTTGAAAGGAAACAATCTAATTAAATATTCTATTTGGTGAATATTCAAACACCCTGCATTAAGGCTATCAAAAATATAAAGTCTTACTCCATCGTAATAAACACAAATCCAATGACCAGCATTGTTATTACCGCTAAAAACTATTTGAATATGTTTAACTCTTTCTCTAATTGGAACAATTAAATCAAGCATTTGTAAATACAAAGTACTTTGCATAATGAAAAAAGAATTTGAATCATTTTTTGATAATTCTTGAAATTTATACACTACCGTCCGAAATTGTGCGAACTCTGCTTTTTCAACAACTATAAAACTGTTCAAATCTTCAAAAATATTAAAACTAAAATTTTTTCCTCTTTATTTTATTAAAGTTAATAAAATTCTGAAAGAAATGACACCTTGACAAAAAGAATATGTTAATTTTTCAATTAGATATCTAAGAAAAACCCAATTTTCAATGTTTTTATTATTTTTTTTATATCTCTGGCAAAAATTAATATTTTTAAACGTTCTTAGGCTCATTGAAATCGTATTTTGTTATGCAATTCAAATTATATAAAACAATTCATGTACACATTCTTCCCTAGCGTATGCAAACCGTGAAAGTTGGCTCATAAAATGTCAAAAAATTGTGATTAATGTTTATATGACAAAAAGTGATCAGTAAAATGTATAAATTTCAAATTTACTTACATAAATCAGAGAAGTTTAGAATGATATATTTACTTGATTTTTAAACATTATATTTTATTGTAGAATTAAATTTAAATTTTTTGACATTTTATGAGCCAACTTTCACGGTTTGCATACGCTAGGGAAGAATGTGTACATGAATTGTTTTATATAATTTGAATTGCATAACAAAATACGATTTCAATGAGCCTAAGAACGTTTAAAAATATTAATTTTTGACAGAGAAATAAAAAAAATAGTAAAAACATTGAAAATTGGGTTTTTCTTAGATATCTAATTGAAAAATTAACATATTCTCTTTGTCAAGGTGTCATTTCTTTCAGAATTTTATTAACTTTAATAAAATAAAGAGAAAAAAATTTTAGTTTTAATATTTTTGAAGATTTGAACAGTTTTATAGTTGTTGAAAAAGCAGAGTACGCACAATTTCGGACGGTAGTGTACATGTTCATATCATTTAACATTTCATTTACATTTTCAATAATTTTAAAATCTTCATTACTTAAAATAAAATACTCTTCTATGTTCGACATGGTATCCTTCTTCAACTTTCAAACTGTTGATAAAGCCAATTTTCAAAACAAATCGTTTATTTTAGTTTATTGCTTTAAAAAATTTACTTACATGTGTTTCACCTATAAAATATTGCATTAACTATAATTCAGCTAACTTATGCAACAATGATAGTCTTTTATGAACGTGAATTAGCGTTGTTTAATCTTTTTCCACATTACATCATTTTCGATAATGATTATTATTGAACTTATTTTCCTCTGCACTTTTTATTAATATTCAAATCAATATTCAACTCACAAACTATTATTTAACCCATAAAACAATTTTAACCCTTAAAACAATATTCAAACCTCTTTCTATCTATTTAAATACTTTTCCAAAAGCCAGCATCCTCTATTCTCAAACAGTCAATATTTTTTTTTCAATATCGAAATATATTCAATGCCAATGTTATCCAATATCATATTTTATTATCCTCAAAATCCAAATATCTTTAATGCCAAAATTACCCAATACCAAAAAATTTTTCCAAAAGACAGCTTCCACTATTATAAAACAATCAATATTTTTGTTGCATTATTAAAATATATTCAATACTAATGTTATCCAATATCTTTCTTTATCCTCAAAATCGTAATATCTTTAATGCCAATGTTATTTAATACCAAAAAAACTAAATGGATTGAAGTATTTTTTATATGAAACATTTAAGACAACCAAAAGAAACAAATATCTTCAATACCAATATCATGCCATATCCATATTTATCTTTAAAATACATATATAATTATTAATACTATACAAAAATAGGAATATATTTTTTGGGCCCAATACAAAAATGAAAAAGACAAATATAATATAAGAAGATTCAACACCTGCAGTAAGTTATTGATCGACAAATTGCAGAAAAATATTATAAACTTTATAATAATCAAGTTAAGTTACCTGAGACTATTAGAATCTTTTTTTAGCAACACTACTACAATGTTGTTGAAACGGTAGTCGGTTGCTCTATGTTTATCTTACATCAGCAGTAGCCGTTTCACTCCATTGAGGAGAAGTGTTATACCCCCACTCTACCAATCTGGGCTTATATTAAGTTCTCGCGAGTGGCAGATATTACGGTAGGCCTGAGTGGCATCCTCGGGGATAGGTGTTGGTAAGTTAAGTATGAATACACCACTTCCACTCACTGGGATTAAACGGTTATCATCTATATCGCATATACAATAATAAAAAAATTTCCCTCAACCCAAGACTGTTAGGACGAATCGAGCGATCACGGATTGGGTCCTGAAAAGGGAAGTGGTATATCTTCATTCTATCGGCCTGTCCCGGGCTCAGACCTCGAGTAAGTCAATTACAGCGGGGGCCTGTATGACGTTCTCGGGCTTAATGACAATATTATTTTATGACGCTTAATGAGTTTTTCAAAAAAATTATAAAATTTTTAAATATAAACACTGTTTAATTTATTTTGACATATTCGTTTTCCTCAGAAGTTCACGATTACGATCATATATTGCTCCAATAATAACACAGGCACAAAAAAAAATTCAGGTCCCAAAAAACACAACCCCATATTCCTATGTTTTTGTGGTCGCTGAAACCGAATATGACCATTAACAATTTTTTTGACGACCCATTTTCCCGCAACCACCCCTTGCACCTACTCACGGGGGTTGGAGTTTCAAATTAAAAAAAAATTGAGTATGGTGTCTATTCCAATGTTTTTTTGGGTCGCTTCATCCCAAAAACACCATTGAAAACAAATCCTTTCTTTCCTTAACCCCGTACAACCCTCTGGGAGAGGGTTAAAATTTTAAATTTCACAAAAAGTCAAGTTCGGTGTCTAATCCTACGTTTCTTGGGGCGCTGAAATCAAAAAACACCACCAAAAACAAATTCTTTACCCCCTTAACCCGCTAAAACCCCTGGGAGGGGGTTGGAATATCATTTTTCACGCCGCTAAGTGTAGAAAAATAAATTTCCTTAAGACTTTGTAGGTGCGTATTTGTGTAATCATAGGTAACTTTCAAGAAAACTTTATTGTTGGTGATGTTTTTTGGTTCCCTGGCGGATTCGATTTACGTAATGTCTACTTAACTAAGCGGACTTTAGGTAGACATTAGGTAGACATGTAAAAAAACGTATAAAAAAGCTATTAATCGACTTATTATGATAAAAAAAAGTTGATAAAAGGGTAAATGAATGTTTATAGAGTAAATTCGTACAAAATTTGTAATTAATAAAGCAATAAATAATTAATAATGAATGGAAATGTGCGCGAGGTACCTGATTAGTTCAGCTGTACAATTATTTTCGTGCTATTTTCATGAAAAGAATATAAATTAACTCCAAAAACAATTGATATTTATAAAAAAGTGTAAAATTGATTTAATTTGAGTGTTTGCAATACGAATTATTAAATAATAATTAAGTTTTTATCAAATGTGAATAGTGTTGTGAAAACCTGTGAAAACTAATGAGTTACTACATTACCGATCGCATATGACAATAAAAAGTTCTCGATGAGTGTAACAAAAAAGCTCCAATTTAACCAAGTACATAATTTCCGAGATTGCCAGAGAAGGCGCCACCAGTTTTTACAATACAGTGCGAGCATGTTTTCTTCCAAGCTTTTG